GTGGAAGCCAGTGAAGGGATTGACAGAGAGGGGCAGCAGTTGCTGATCGGTTGGTAAGGTATATGAGTCTAGCATCAGCATTCCCAATAGACTGAACTGGGGATAGCCTGTTTAACGGTAGACCAGAGAGGAGAGAATTGCAGTAATCAATGCGGGATATAACCAAGGCATGGATACGTTTTTTTGTGGTGTCATTGGTCAGAAAGGGGCGAATTTTGGAAATGTTCCAGAGGTTGAGGTTGCAGACTTATCCAGTGAGTGGATGTGGGGCCCAAAGGAGAGGTGAGAGTCTAGGATTACGGCTAGCACCCTGGCATGAGGGGAAGGACCAATGGTTGAGCTGTTGATCTTAATGGTAAAGTTGTGAGTGGGGGATCGGGGAGGAGGAAATATCACAAGCTCTGTTTTTGAAAGATTGAGTTTAAGGTAGTGATGTGACATCCATGCTGATATGTCGCTTAGTAGATTTGTCATACATGAGGAGATTGAGGGGATGAGCTGGGGAGTGGAGAGATAGATCTGGGTGTCATCAGCATAGAGGTGGTATTGGAAGCCATGGGAGGTTGTCAGTTGGCCCAGGGAGGAGGTATAGAGAGAGAAAAGGAGGGGCCCAAGGACAGAACCTTGGGGTTCCCCAACAGAAAGAGGAAGAGGAGTGGAGGAGGAGGAGTTGTATGTGACACTGAAAGTGCGCTGAGAAAGGTAAAAGGAGAACCAGGAGAGAGCAGAGTCACGGAGGCCGATGGAGTGGAGGTTTATTGAGAAGGAGCGGGTGGTCGACTGTGACAAAGGCAGCGGAAAGGTCAAGGAGTATGAATATGGAGTAGTGTGGCCATTGGTTTTAGCTGTTAGTAGGTCATTAGTGAGTTTTAGTAGGGCAGTTTCTGTGGAATGTTGTGGAAGCCAGACTGTCGGGGATCAAGAAGGTTGTTGTCGGTGAGAGGTAGCAGTTCATACGGTTCTGAACAAGGCGCTTGAGAAGCTTGGAGGCAAACGGGAGCAGGGAGATGGGTCTTAAGTTATTCAAACAGGTGGAGTCCAGTGAGGGTTTTTTGAGAATGGGGGTAACCAGTGCATGTTTGAGTGGGGAGGGAAAGGTGCCCATGGAGAGTGAGAGGTTGAAGATGTGGGTTAGAGAGTTTAGGATAGAGCAGGAAGGAGGCTGCAACAGTCGTGAGGGGACAGGATCCAGGGGACAGGTGGTGAAGTGGGCCTTGGAAAGGACTTCGGTAACTTCCTTGGTGGTAGCAGGTTCGAAGGAGGAGAGTGTTGAGTTTGGTGTTGGGCCTGGTATGTTGGTTAGAGGAGGAATCTTGACACCGGAGATCTCATCATGAATTGTGTGGACCTTCTTGAAATGACTGGCATTCTCCTGTGCAGTAAGTAAGTTGGTGGGTGGAGGCAGTGGGGGGGTGGAGTAACGAATTAAGGGTAGGGAAGAGTTGATGAGGATTGGATGAGAGGGTCTTGATGAGAGTGTTGTAGTAGGTTTGCTTAGCAGTGTGGAGGCTGGAGTTGTATTTGAGAAGAGCGGATTTGTAGAGGGTAAAGTCTTTGAGGGATTTAGTTTTACACCATGCTCACTCAAGACTGCGGCTGCGTCTCTTGAGACTTCTGGTGTAATCTGTTTGCCAGGGTAGTGACTGGCGAGACCTGGTTCTGCATGTAGAAAGAGGAGCAAAGAGTCCAGGGAGGATGATAGATAGTTGTAGGCAGAAGTGGCCAGCTCTGGGCAGGACAGGGGTGCAATTTCATTATAGAGGCGCTCAGTAGCGGAGTGAAGAAGGTTAGGGCTGAGGTGGTGGAGGTTTCTACAGGTAACGGTTTGCTGGTTGGAGGCATGAGAGGTAGGAGACAGAGAGAGTGTGAAGTTGATAAAGTTGTGATCAGAGAGAGGAAAAGGGATGTTAGAGAGGTTACAGGGAGTGCATAGGTGGGTGTATACAAGGTCAAGGGTGTTGCCATTGGAGTGGGTGGTGGTTAAAAGAGGAAGTTAGGTTGAGTAGTTGAGAGGTGGCAGGAGTGTGAACATTGACTGGGATGTTAAAGTCACCGAGGATGATGGCAGGCACCTTAGAGGAGAGAAAGTACTGTAACCATGCTGAAAAGTCATCAAGAAAGCATGACACTGGGCCTGGGGGCCGGTAGATGACTACGATCCTCAGACAAACAGGAGAAAAGAGATGAATATAGTGCACTTCAAAAGAGCGGAGGGACAGAGATGGAGGGGCAGGAAGAACCTGGAACGTGCTTTGTGGGGAAAGAAGAAGTCCAAGTCTGCCCCCTTTTCGTCCACTGGGTCTGGGTGAGTGAGTCCAAAGGAGGCCGCCATGGGAGAGTGCAGCTGAGGAATCGGAGCCAGGTTTCAGTAATAGCAAGTAGGTTGAGAGAGTGGGAGAGGAAGAGGTCATTGATAGTAGAGAGTTTGTTAGAGGCTGAGCAGGCATTCCAGAGGGCACATAGGAGGGAGGGGTTGGTGCGTGGAAGAAGGGGAATTGAGATGAGAGAGTGAGGGTTGCGGCTGTGGCCAGAGAGGGGAGGCTGCTGCTTCTGTGGTTTGGAGTTTGATGGTGGAGGGTCAGGGTTTGGGGCAATGTCTCCAGAAGTTAGTAGTAATAGGAGGGTAAGGGAGGTGAGGTGGGGAGTGAGATTTATATGAGGGCAGATGCCGCAGTGCTTTTGTAGTGGTGACATTATGTGGACCAAGAGAGAGCAGGAGATAAGTGCAGTGATATTGGGAGGGCAGAAGTGAGGGTGATATATACAACTTGTGTGGTGGGGAGGAGGGGTAAAGAAGAGAGAGTTTGAGAAGAGAGGGCATTATAGCAACAAAGGGAGTTAGCAAGAGCATGCTGGAGAGAGGATTAATATGGAATATATGTTCCTTGCTAAAGAACATTATTTTTATCAATTGTTATGAGTAAAGTTCTGCTTTAGGAAACTAAATGTTATTTATTTAACAAGTTCATCTACTTTAAAGTGTATGTGTAGTGCTGTTTGGCCTGGACTCTCTAAATTCATCCCAGCAGCACTGACAAAATAAATGCAGCAAGGACTTTTTCCATTTCTTTTCTCCTTTTACCCTTAATGAATAGTTTAGGGATAGAGGAGGCTAGGGCAAATGAGGACTCTGGCTAGGCAGGCTGTGAGGCATGCGAATGGCTGCTGGGTGCATTTATCCCTACACACCACTTGGGAGAAGAGCAGGAATCCATGTAGGACATAAAAAGTTTCTGGACTCAAAAGGAGAGTGGGCTGCCCAGGGAAAGTGTTGGGCAGGGTCCAAGTGTGTTGTCAGTACCTGCAGGAACAGAGCAGGGGCAAGAGCATGCAGCAAACCCAGGAAAAGGTGTTCCATATTACGTGCTGCTGACTGAGAGACTGCTACATTGTTCAAGATTGAGGGAGCCTGCTCAGAGACTTTGCTAATGATTGTTCACAAAGAGAAAGACCGATCACTGTGAGTACTATGCTACTGTGTACAGAGGCCATTGCTGTTGCTGATCTCTTCACTGCTGGGGGAGTGAGACTGAGAGAAATGTGCTGCTGAGAGTCAGGACCATGTACTGAACTGTTTCATCAGAGCTGATCCAGTTTCCATAGTGTACAAACTACCATTGCCTGTTACAGCTGCACAGAGCTGGCCCGAGAGCGTGGACCCTTTTGACGGTCATCTAGGGGCCGCTTGGGACAAGAACCAGAGTCATAAGTGGTGAGAAACTTTTGGCCATCATCTTGTTTATTTGAGTACTTCAAATTAAGGGCCCTATCATCAGCAGAACTACTATTTGGCCAGGGGACAGGGCCTATTGCATGTAGATAGGCTTTATGATAGTCATTATTATGCCTGGTTTCAAACTGTGATTTCTTGCACTACGGTCTTTGGATAGCTTTTCAGTTGTTGAACCTGTTTCTTTACAGGGCAATACCATTTAAAAAAAGGTCATTTAAAATGCATACAGGTGTGTCACTGTCACTCGAGTCCAGGTAAGAGTGCATCATCACTGGAGAATGGCAGAGGCTATCAAAACATCTAGTGGTCCTCTCTGGGGTAAGTACTACATACTGTCTGTACAGAAGATGTGAAACCTTTGACCCTCTACAAGACAGTGGTCTTGGTGTCACTGACATCCCTAGTGACACCAATAGAGTGATCAGTGCTAATAAAAAGCACTGACACTGTACTAATGGCACTGGGCAGGAAGGAGTTAACATCTGGGGCGATCAAAGGGTTATCTGTGTGCTGTGTGCTGTTTTACTGTGGGGCTGTGTTAGTGCTTTCAGCTGTAAGCACACTGCTTTTCATGGCTCTGCTATTCAGAGCCATGCATAGAATGCATTAAGGTGCAAAACCTTAAGGCTTTAGAACCACTTTAACCACTTGCCTACAGGGCACTTATACCCCCCTCCTGCCCAGGCCAGTTTTTCAGCTTTCAGAGCTGTCGCACTTTGAATGACAATTGCGCGGTCATGCAACACTGTACCCATATGAAATTGTTATAATTTTTTTGAGACAGATAGAGCTTTCTTTTGGTGGTATTTAATCACCTCTGGGTTTTTTTTATTTTTTCTTAAACAACCAAAAACCATTGAAAATTTTGAAAAAAAAAAGTTTTTTTCTTAGTTTTTGTTATAAAAATTTTGTAAATAAGTGATTTTTCTCCTTCACTGATGTGCGCTAATGAGGCTGTAGTGATGGGCACTGATATGCTGCACTGATGGGCACTGATGAGGAGGCACTAGTAGGTGGCAATGATGGGCACTGATGAGGAGGCACTAGTAGGTGACACTGATGGGCATTGACAGGCACCACTGATGGCCACTGAAAGGCAGTAATCATATATGGCACTGAGAGGCGGCACTGATAGGTGGCACTGACTTGCACTGATAGGCAGCACTGGCTGGCACTGTTAGATGGCACTGACTGGCACTGTTAGATGGCACTGATAGGCAGCACTGATGGGCACTGATAGGAGGCACTGATGCACACTGATAGGTGACACTGATTGGCAGCACTGATAGGTGGCACTGACTGGCATTGATAGGTGGCACTGACTGGCACTGATAGGTGACACTGAAAGGCAGCTCATATGGGCATTGACATGTGGCATTGATGTGCACTGGTAGGCACTAATACGTGTCTTTGATGTAGCACTGATGGGCACTGGCAGGTGGTATTGATGAGCACTGACAGCTGGCATTGATGGACACTGACAGGTGGCACTGCTGGGGCTACACTGATCATCAGTACCCTGATGATCAGTGTACATGTCCCCTCCGAGGAATGCCAACGTGACAGCTCGTGAGGAGAGAAATGCCGATAACCGGGATTTCCCTATTTACATGCGATCAGCTGTGATTGGACACAGCTGATCACATGACTGAGCCGACAACTTAGGCTCTTTCTGTTCCATTGTCCGAGGGACACAGCGCACCACCGATCGCCGCGCTATGCGCTCCCGGAGCCGCACATGCGCGGTTAGAATGGGAGGACGTCATATGAGGTCCTCCCGGAACGAGAGAACCGTCTTGCGCCTGTCATTACCTTATATGGCAGGCGGGAGGCGGTTAATAGATTAAACGTATTGTAATGAATCTGTGCTGTGATGACACGTGTGGTTGCGGGCAAACATAGTTTGACATACCAAACCTAAAAACTTACAATATCGTGAAATGATGCCACACCAGTGAATATAACAAAAATGTATAACATAATTATGTAAATAGAATAGAAATAGAATACTGTGAGAAATTAATATCCAAATTGCTGTGCTGGACCATTATCGAAGATGCTAGACAAGTGTGGCAAGTATTCATCTGCAAAGTCTGTGATTAGTATACAGCAAATGAATAATCTTGGCTGACTGCTGCTTTCTTGTGGTCGGTGAGTTTTGTCTCAGTTTTTAATTGAACATTTTCACACTCCACCTATTTCCTGTCTATATTCCCTGTCTATCTGTGTGAGCATTTTGAAAAATTTCTTTTCAAGATTGCTGTGATTGAGAATCACAAAAAGCAATGAGAAGCCATTGATAAAATCAACAATTTGCCTTTTACAAATAGTGAATGATCCAATGATATTGGGGCTAATGTCCATTACACTTATCACATTAAATCTAACCCAAATACTGAGACTTACAGGACAACTGTACTTTTTGTAAAGTTGTAATTATTTAATATTTTCTTTAGTGAAGCTGTCCTTTAAATGTCCACCCACCCCTTCAGTTGAATCCACCTACCAAATACTTACCATAAGCCCTGCTCCTGAGATGCTCACTTTGCGGCTCTGCCAGGTACTGCACAGCCTTTGCAAGAAAATGCCTAAGCATGCATGATGACCGCTTTATTAATTTCTATGGCTTGTCACCACCCATAGAATCCCCCAGCTATCCGGAAGAGTATGGGCCAAACTAAAGGAATGGATAGGAAGTATAGCGTGCATGTGCAGGAGTTGGACAATGTGGGATTACTGTATTTTCTGCAAAGACTAGACAAGGGCAAGTGGCGAAGATTTCAGGAACTTAATAGGGTAGGGGGAACAATGCAAATCTGAATGTCAAGGTGCAGAACAGTGACAAATGTAAATCATTCCAGCAAAAAATTATTATAGCTTTTATTTTCTACAACAAAAAAGATGTGAAGGGGTCCTGATAGCAAAAAAGCATCAAATGATTGACAAACAAAGCATTCTCTGCCTTATAAATAAACCCTTATATAGTGCAATTTATCAACAACCAGATTCAGTTTAAATGCTTGAACAACTAGCTATCTACTACTGTATGTTTCACCTTTATGTAATCCAGGATTTATCCTTTCAGTTCACATGAAGCTATTAGTTCTGTTTGTGATAGATTTTTATTTTAAAGATAATATGAGCATTTAATGACCCTCTCTGCATGTCGTAGAGTTCTTGGATCTCACTGTGCTGAAATCATTTTGTCTTTGACATAGTCTCATTCCTCTACATCCCATTTTCTTTAATCAAGAAGTGATCAGGCTGTGGAATTTATGGAAAAAAAGAGAAGAGAGAAAGGATAATAAATATATAAATTCAGAGGAACAAAGGAACTGAAGAGGAATTTCATGAAAAATAAAAAGATTTTTTTCCCTGCTATCAATTTTAAGGAAAGAAAATGTGTATTTTTTTATTTGAATATATATTTTTTATATCAATTTTCAGTTTTATTGCATCAAGCAGCATGGCTCATTTTTGTCACTTACTTAATTATCTCAAAATGGATCATTATACATATTTAAGAACCCAAACTTTTAATATTCAGTTGGCACAACAGGGGTCACAGATAACCATTTAATTAATCAAATCACTTAAGTTTGTTTTATGCTTTAAAAGGCTCCACTGCTTCAGAAGTTTTCATCTAATAGTAGAAAAGAATTTCTGAATATTCGCTAACAGCTATTCTTTTAAATTTTTTAATATGTTAGTAAAAATATATTGTATATTAGAGCATTTTTAAGGATATCGTGCCATCTACTATGACTGTGTTATCTGGATTTCCTTAAAGCACAATTGTACCCTATTTTTTAATTACTGGGTGAAGTCAGAGTGCTAATGAAGAAATATTTTTTTAAGGTCTTTTGTGAAATAGAAAACCAACACATTATCAACCTTCTTGTTCCCAGCAGCATGTTGAAGATCCAGACCACTCTATTTTATGTGAGAGCAGCTGCCTGCTTAAATCCCCAACCCAACACAAATCTTTGCACCCACCATCCTTTCTCCTAGCACAAATCCTCAACCCCACAAATTTCCCCTCCTACCATGAATCCCCTCCAAATCCCCCTTCCTAACACAAATCCCCCTCCTAGTACAAATCCCCCCTCCTAAATCCCCTCCTAGCACAGATCACCCCTCCAAATCACCCCCCACCCCCCCAATTGTGCCTCCTAAAATGAATTCCCAAATTTCTTCCTCCCAGTACAAACAACCTCCCAATCCCCCCTCCTGTCACATCCCCCCAAACCCCCCTCCTAGCACTAATTCTCTTCTCCCTAAACCTTCTATCACAAATACGTTCATCTCCAGCACAAATGGTTGCTACTCTAAAGCTGCTGTCACTACTCCTTCCAGCTTGTAGGTAGGAACTCCCCCCTCACATAATACCACTGTGCCCTGGCCCTGGCTGCTAGAGATCCAGACAGTTAATGAGCAGAACAGTCTTGAGCTCCATCATGCTGTTGGGTTTATTGAGGTTGAGAATGTGCTGGAACATTGGCACATCCCCCAAGAAAGACATTTGAAATTCTGCTTTGTTTATTTTCCTAATTCTTTTTATTGGTGTTTTAAAGGGAAAGAGAAAAGAATGTTCCAAACAGTTGTTTTGGCCACGCTTAATGTTTTTGCTATCTCTCTGATGGGTTTGTTTTGTTTTTTCCAGCCTAATGATGGCTTGCTTCACTGATAGTGACACCTCTTTGGATCTCATCTTGAGAGTTGACAGCAACAGATTCCAAATGCAAATAGCACACTTGAAATTAACTCTGGACCTTTTATCTGCTCATTGTAATTGGGATAATGAGGGAATAACACACACCTGTCCATGGAACAGATGAGAAGCCAATTGTCCCATTACTTTTGGTCCCTTAACAAGTGGGAGGCACATATGCAAACTGTTGTAATTCCTACACCGTTCACCTGATTTGGATGTAAATACCCTCAAATTAAAGCTGACAGTCTGCAGTTAAAGCACATCTTGTTTGTTTCATTTCAAATCCATTGTGGTGGTGTATAGAGCCAAAAATGTTAGAATTGTGTCGATGTCCCAATATTTATGGACCTGACTGTATACTGTAAATATATATATATATATATATATATATATATATTATCTTTTCATGTGACGACACTGAAGAAATGACACTTTGCTACAATGTAAAGTAGTGAGTGAATAGCTTGTATAACAGTGTAAATTTGCTGTCCCCTCAAAAAAAACTCAACACACAGCCATTAATGTGTAAACCACTGGCAACAAAAGTGAGTACACCCCTAAGTGAAAATGTCCAAATTGGGCCCAAAGTGTCAATATTTTGTGTGGCCACCATTATTTTCCAGTACTGCCTTAACCCTCTTGGGCATTGAGTTCACCTGAGCTTCACAGGTTGCCACTGGAGTCCTCTTCCACTCCTCCATGATGACATCACGGAGCTGGTGGATGTTAGAGACCTTGCACTCCTCCACCTTCCGTTTGAGGATACCCCACAGAAGCTCAATATGGTTTAGGTCTGGAGACATGCTTGGACAGTCCATCACCTTTACCCTCAGCTTCTTTAGCAAGGCAGCAGTCGTCTTGGAGGTGTGTTTGGTGCATTATCACGTTGGAATACTGCTCTGCGGCCCAGTTTCTGAAGGGAGGGGATCATGTCTGCTTCAGTATGTCACAGTACATGTTGGCATTCAGGGTTCCCTCAATGAACTGTTGCTCCCCAGTGCCAGCAGCACTCATGCAGCCCCAGACCATGACACTCCCACCACCATGCTTGACTGTAGGCAAGACACACTTGTCTTTGTACTCCTCACCTGGTTGCCATCACACACGCTTGACACCATCTGAACCAAATAAGTTTATCTTGGTCTCATCAGACCACAGGACATGGTTCCAGTAATCCATGTCCTTAGTCTGCTTGTCTTCAGCAAACTGTTTGCTGGCTTTCTTGTGCATCATCTTTAGAAGAGGCTTCCTTCTGGGATGACAACCATGCAGACCAATTTGATGCAGTGTGCGGTGTATGGTCTGAGCACTGACAGGCTGACCCCCCACCACTGCAACCTCTGCAGTAATGCTGGCAGCACTCATATGTCTATTTTTCAAAGACAACCTCTGGATATGACATTGAGCACGTGCACTCAACTTCTTTGGTCAACCATGGCGAGGCCTGTTCTGAGTGGAACCTGTCCTGTTAAACCACTGTATGGTCTTGGCCACCGTGCTGCAGCTCATTTTCAGGGTTTTGGCAATCTTCTTATAGCCTAGGCCATCTTTATGTAGAGCAACAATTCTTTATTTCAGATCCTCAGAGAGTTCTTTGCCATGAGGTGCCATGTTGAACTTCCAGTGACCAGTATATAGTTACATAGTTGCATAGTTAGTGTGGCTCAAAAAAGACAAAAATCCATCCAGTTCAACCATTAAAAAAAAAAGTAAAAAAAGAGAGCGATAACACCAAATTTAACACACCTGCTCCCCATTCACACCTGAGACCTTGTAACACTAACGAGTCACATGATACCGGGGAGAGAAAATGGGTAATTGGGTCTAATTTGGACATTTTCACTTAGGGGTGTGCTCACTTTTGTTGCCAGCAGCTTAGACATTAATGGCTGTGTGTTGAGTTATTTTAAGGGGACATCAAATTTACACTGTTATACAAGATGTACACTCACTACTTTACATTGTAGCAAAGTGTCATTTCTTCACTATTGTCACATGAAAAGATATAATAAAATATTTACAAAA